CAATAATATTAATTTTTAACAATTTTTATTATTATTCTTCCTTCTATATTTCTTATTATTATTATTATTTATTAATATTAAAATATATATAATATAATGATAAAAATGATATCTTATATATTATTATTAGAAAACAAAATAAACAATAATGACGTACAACCGCAGGAACAAATTGTACACAAACTCGGAAGATTTGTTCCTAAAACGACAGACGTGTCAGTAATTGCCCGATTTTTGTTTAAATTTATATCCGTAGTATTAACAACACTGTCCTTTTGTTTAGAATCCAATTGGCAATGAACAACGCCGACGACGATGAATAAAAGAAAAAACGATAATACAATCGTTCGAGAATCCATGTTTATCGTCTTAACCGAAAACGGAATCTTCAATCGGCAAAACTACCTAGTTTAAACTGAGATGTAATTCTGTTTCTATCTGCTCGACTATTCTCGTTCTGATAAGAAATAAATGATAAGATATCGTTCGAAGTTATTACTCATCGAGAATGGCCAGGTAAAAAAGTAAAAAGTCAGACGAATAGATAAAGATAGTAATACATTTTTTTTCTCTCTCTTTCTTTCTCAATTTTATTTCATTTTCAAATATTTTCCTGATCGCTATTACAAATATTCTTGATAATTCACTTACTTGATATATTTCTACGAACTTGAGATTAATCGATCGTGTAACGATTAAACAATAATCTAAAAGTGACTCTACAAAATATAACGTCACCTATTCAACGAAATCATTTTACATACATCGATCGTAATTATAACAAAATGCACCCCCCCTATGCAAAGGTATTGTTTTTGTTCCCCCGGGGGCAAAAGTTAAGAAATACAAAATATCTAATCATATCGATCTTTATGCAACGTGTTTACTCTAAAACTCTTATCTAATCTCATCGAAGTATTTTTGTAATTTTAGAATTATGTTGCAATAATGCATAAATGTATTTTCTTATACGAAAAAAAAATACATCAAAGTTCTGTTCCTCAAATAAACAAAATTTACCTTTTAAATACGCAACGCTTAATTTCATTTGATAAATTTGAAAATATCTATAACATTAAAGGATAACTTGACCAATGTATTATCTATTATCCGACTAAAAGATAACAGAACCTTATCTATCAATGATTAATCCTATTGATATCTTATTCAATTCGTATTTTCATAATTCAATCATTTCTACAAAATCTCTGTTTCCCCCTCCCTCCGTGCGTATAAAAATGCGAATGTTAAAAGTTAATAAATAAATAAATAAAAAAGAAAAAGGAGAGGAAAAAAAGTTTCAATTCAAATTTGGCGGTATTGCAAGGGATGCACGCAATGACGTCCGGTTCGAGGTTAGGTTGGGAGAACGGGTGGCGTCATCTGACCGTAAAATTAAGTACTACGGGGGGCTCTCGCGAGGGACCTTCGCGAAAAGTATTGAATCGATGACGTCACAAAAGCCGAGAGAGATATGGTGGAGTAGAGAACGGTGGGGTGTACGACGGTCGCTATGAAAAATGTCCGATTACTTAAATTTATCATCGAGTTGAACGCTGGTAAACATAGCGCACTGATATCATCCCAATACTAGGATCATTTAAACCGGTGTTTGAAGAAATCTGGACGTTAGTGTGCTTGTTGTTTTAACACGTGGACAGAAAAGGATAGGTTGAAAAAGAAAATACATTTATATGTATATGTAATATCTATATGTATATATATATGTGTATATAAAAAGAGGAGGAGGAACAAAAATCAGACGACAAGGGAGATAGAAAGAGAAAGAGTAACAAAAAAAAAGAAAGAAAGAAAGAAAGATAGATAGAAGTGGTCAGCAGCAGTGTGTTCGGTTTGAAGAAGAAACAACTTGCCGAATTTCAATCGGCATGATCCCCTTTTATAAAAAGAGAAAATAAACACAAAGGGAGAAAGAGTGAGAAAGAAAGGAGATAGAAGAAGATAATACATTCGTAATAGAGGGACGAAGGAAGAGTTGAATTGAAGGGAACGAAGAAGAATAAGAAGAATAAGAATAAGAGGAGGAGGATAAAACAGAAAGTGCAGCGTGACCCGTGCAAGAACCAGCTTTGGGAGACTTTGATCACGGTAAGCAAGATACAAAAAAAAAAAAAGGAACGAACGAACGAACGAGAGAAAGAGAGAGAGAGAGAGAGATAATGTGTTCAAAGTATAAAACGCGTTACGAATAATATTTTAATTTTTCTAAATGCATTTCGGCTAAGTCTAACGCGTTCCAATTGGTTATTTAAATTAAGACGAAAAAAAGAAACATGACATTTAATTTCTGGTGACTTTTTTTTTTTTTTAAATGGTTCTCGTTGACCGTTCGACAGAATACTTATGTCGAGTATTTAGTAGTTAGTTGCAGTTGTATATTAGAGGTTAGGTTCGTTTTATTCCTTTCCATCGTTCCTACCGTTCGTCTTTTCTTCCATCCTTCGACACCAGGTATGGGTGCGTGCCGCAGACACTTGCGCTTAATATCAAGGAAAGAAAAAAATAATAAAAAAAAATAAAAAAAAAAAAAAATAAAAAAGGAAAAAATGGTCATTTTTTGTATGCGCATTGCCGTGGCAAAAGTGAACGCCCATTTCTCGGAGTCCAGCGCGCGGCCTGCTTGACAGAATCCGCGGATTGATGCGATCGATATCATCGCATTTTACTCTCCAATCCTTCTCGATGTTCGATTTAATGAGGAGAATAATAATAATAATAATATATGAACCATTCATTAGTTTAAACGATATTTAATTTCAGTTCACGCATACATTTTTTTTCGGAATTATTCTTTTTTTCTTTATTTACCATTAAGAGTTGTCACACACTGATAACCTCACTCTTTTATTTACAATAAATTAGATTAATTTGTTTTTGTTAATATTGTTATGGTCGTATATATTATTTTACAATGCATTCAAGTGTGTTTATATTCATTTATTGAACCATTTTTTTTTAATTGTAATTAATCGATATTTTAAATGAATAGTTCATATATATATATATATATAGGTGAGATTTCTATTCTGGTCCATTCCTCTGTTTAAAACAAGGGGCTTCGATCTAGTTCCTTTTTTTTAGGGATAATTAATACTATAGTAATAATATCATAAATGTTACGAACCGAACTTAATCGATTATGCATTTTACATCTCGATGTTTTGTATATTTTCCATTTATATTTTATTTTCTAAGTTACATCAACGCAATAAGTAAATTATTTCAATATAATGACCCACTCATTATCGATATGCAGCACGCTAATTACGAGCATATATTATCTGTTTTTTCTTATACCTGTAATCGTAGTGTTTGCCTTTTTTTCTTTTTTTTTTTTTTTTTTTTTGTTTGTCTTTCTAGAAATAATAATTCAGAATAAAACGAGCTGTGTGCGTGTGTGTGCTGCACGAGGAAAAATGAATACACGTATGCGCGAGAATGCGTTGATTAAAAGAAAAAAAAAAAGAAACAAAATAAATTCGATTGGACGCGTGGAAATGATCAATACTGTTTTATACTTTGTTGTGTTGTGTTTCGTATGACACGTATATGACGTTGATAATATTTAATTCAATTATTTATTCAAAGATCAAAGATCAGAGAGAAAGGGATATAAATCGAAGTATATTCATGTCAGATGTGACGCAATCGAAAAAATGTAAATATGTTTATAAATATACATACACACACACACACACACACATATATATATATTTAACATTTACCTTTGATCACGTTTATATTAATTGCTACATTTTGATGAGAGCAAATGGTTTTAATCGTATGTTCGTAAATATACACGTATACACAGTTATTTATATTTATATATATATATGTGTGTATGTGTATATATATGTAACATGAGATATTAAGAGACGGGCGTTAATATCGATGATAACATGCGCACATGGTACTCTCGTATCGTGACGAACTGTATTGTACGGACAATCAGTGTAATGAACCGTTGTTGCGATTATCTGTCTCTTCGTGGCAAAAGAAACGCCATAAGCGTTCAAGAGAAATAAGAACACAAAACTATTAAAGAACACTGTATTCTACAAAAGTAGAATTGAAAATTATAATTGAATTTGATCATATAATTTCGATTAAAATCAATTGTCATTAATTGTAATATATATTATATGAAATTAGATTAGATAAAGTTAATTTCTATCTGATATATCACAGATCCCCCCCCAATCGGCATCATATATATATATTTCTATAACAAATATTCTATTAATTATAACAGAGAAATTAATATTAAAATGATAACAATTATTTTCGATTACTTATGATATTAATTAATAATCGTTTGATAATTAAAATAAATTTTTCTATATAATATATTCACACAATTTCCTTTTTTTATTTATTTATTTATTTCTTTTTGTGCACCCGATTAATTTCATTCGTTATTACGGTCTTGACCATTCGCAGACCAGTAGCGGCAACAGTGGTAACGGTAGCCCCTGTACTTTTTGTTACGCCCTCTTTTTCTCTCATCAAAAAATTATCATACTATTCTATTTTTCCCTTGTTTTACGCTCAATCGGGGTTGGGAGGGAAAAAAAAAAGAAAGAATGAAAGTAAAAGATAATAGAAAAGAGGAGGAAATTGGAAACGAATGAGAGTTAAATGCAAAGAAGAAAAAAAAACAACACAGAGTAGTCTACGCCAATGCATTTGTATTCAAATCGGTTGGTAAAGTAGAAAAGTGACAAATTTCACGGTCTGTTATACTAATGCTTTGAACTTGCCGTTTATCGAAAATACCCGAGACTGACAGACAGATCGTATGTCAAGGTGAAATTGGGGTGAAAGGGGGTTGTAAGGGGAAGGTTAGGTAAAACAAGGGTGAAAGGGGACGAGAGAAACAGGTAATGCTCGTTAGTCGAACGTGGGGCGTGTTTTAACACCTACACACCTTTCTATCCTGTGCTTCTTACTCCTCGTATGCATTTATCTTCTGTTAGTATACAAACTATAGTAAACAACAACCGGTTTTATAGTGAAATGCATTTACGACAATTCGCAATCTTTTATATCGCAGTATATTTTTTTTTTTTCGTTTAACAATAGTCTTAGTAACACAAACGGGGAAGAGGTGAAAGGGGAAGGTGGGTTTTGAAGTACCCTATGCACGTGTTCAAATTGTATTTTTTCAAAGGGGATAAAATAAGGGATGAAGAAAAGTTCGGCTTACTTGGAATATTTGAATTTAGTTTTTTCTTCTTTGATTTCGCACCTTTTTCTGTTTTGTTTTCATCGTAAAAATAATACGATAGTCTGAAATCATTTCTAATCACGAATAATCACAGTGATGTTAAAAGGAAAATTATGATAATAAATCGAGAAAATTTTAAAAATTGAATATTCGAATTCTGGATATATATAATTTTAATATTAAGTAATTCATTTTTTTTATTCTTATCTCTTAATTATTACGTGATATATATTGTGTAATTATTCGTAGGAATAAAAACGAACGCGAGATTAAAATTTGAAATGAAAATTATATCGCGAACTTTGATCTTTGTTGTTTTGATTTATTTAACAATAAACGCGTAACACGATCAATCGAATGATCGAATTTCAATTGTAAATTTAAAATAACAAATATAATTATATAAATATCATTTAATCAGTATACGTAATAGAGTTTAAAAAAAAATTGAATTATATATAGATAAGAGACCAATTTAATTCGAAATAAGAAAACACATAAACTGTTGTTAGGTTTAGTGTTAAACGTCTACAGCTGTACTCGAGAAAAAAAAACGTGACAAAAGAAGAAGAAGAGACACCGAGAGGTCTGGTTGAGCCACTTGTGACTTCCCCTAACATATTTTTTTCCCAAAGCCAAAGTATACACCGTTGTGTGTAGTGGTGTATAGTGTAAAAGTACTTGTGAGAAGGGGGGCTCATATTTATAAATGGACATGTATTTAAAAACTTTCACGTGTGCATCTAGTAATATAAATTATATCAATATTTTTTTATAATAATTCGAATTTTTAAACGAATGAAAAAAGAAAGAAGAAGAAATTTTATATTAGCAACAAAATAATTATTATTATATATCATTTGTAATTCTGATTGAAAGATTTGTTTCTTGTAATTTTTTTGTTTTAAGAATACAATAAAAAGAAAAATAGATAAGGAAATGGGCGAGGGAGGAAGTAAATTTCATAAAAAGAGTGTCACGTGGAAGAAACAATCCCTGCCGTCAAGGGGGTAGGGTGGAGGTGGGAGGGGTACCGTTTTCACCGTCAGCGATAATATTTTTAAATGAAAACCACCACCAGCAGCAGCGTGGCGACAGCGGGGACGATAAATATTGGTGCTTTAACGGAAAGAATCGTGTGGTCTCGTGAGAGATATAGGAAATGCAGTTGGGGTAGCCGGTGGGTTGGGGGTTGAGGTGATAGAAACGAGAAGGGGGTGGAGGAAGAAGCGCCACTTGCAAGTAATGGCACCCCCTCCTGTGCTTTAGACACCCAACGTGTGTCCTATTCCCAATCAGACTCGCAATCAAATCCTTTTTTTCTTCTTCTTCTTCTTCTTCTTCTACTCCTTTTTATTCCTTTTTTTTTCCTTCTTCCTTGATATTTTTTGTTAGCCGACCAAAAATAAAAAGAAAAAAATCCTTTTGTTTTCTATTCCTTTCCATATACCTCTTTTTTTTCTTTTTCTTTTCTTTTCTCTTACTTTGGGATGGTACTCAAGGAAATTATTTTTTAATTGTTACCACGAGCTTAGTTTGAAATTTAAATGAAATTTCCCGCCGAGCAAATTAGATCGACCATTCGAGGGCTTGGTGGACAAGGGATAGGGGAAAAAGGGGGTTGGAAGAAATGTGTTCTTATCAACGCGTAAAACTTGAAAGTATTTTACTGATTATTGGCTAATTTAATTATCATTTTTTTTCTCTTTCGATTAACTAAGTGAAAAAGTACGAGGGGGAGAGTAATTTATAATAATAATAATAATATTATATACGAATATAATACCAAAAAAAATTATTTCAAAAACATATTGTTTATACGTTTGTCTTTTTTTTTTTTTAATTTTATTTTGTCATATTTCTCATTGACCATTTACCTCACCCCCAGGTGTATTTTTTAAACTAAATTTTTTCCTGATGAATGTTATAGGAAAGAAAACGGTTTGCTGTGGTGAATGGTTGTTTTGGGGTGGTTGGAAACTAGAACTTTATGATGTATTCTCTCTCTCTCTCTCTCTTTTTTTTTTTGTTTATAATAATAATATACGGGGTGGTTTAATAACTGTTACTACTATTTTTAATATCTCCGTTATTTTTGATTTTATAGGATTATTCAGGATTATATTTTTATCGGAAGAGTAAAATAATGCACAGATATTTGCGAAATAAAATATAATAATCGTGAACAAAAAGATATAGTCCATTTAAAAAACATTAACATTTAACTTTTGAAATGTTTTTTAACTTAAGCCAAACAAAAGGAAATGGCTCATCGAAGTTTGGGTAATTTGGTACAAACATCTTTTTTTCACAAAAATTTATTTAACCAATCATTCTTTTATTCTTATACTATTTAATATTTGTATATTTAGAATAAGAAGAGGAATGAATCGATGGGACAATAAAATTACGTTTAAATTCAAAATCGTATAAACAAAATGATCTCGAGAGAAAAGAAAAAAAAATTTATCCATGGGGATTAAAAATGACGGAGTTATTTGTAATAGTAGTAATGGTTATTTGTATTTCTATATTTGAGATGTAGATAATATTTAAATATTAAAACCACCATATATATATATATACAATATTTATAAGTAAGAGAAAATAGTTTGATAAAAAGTATAAGAATAAGAAGAAAAAGAAAAAGAAAATCGGCATCGTTCCAAAGATCTTTCAGACTCAATCAGAATTCCAATATCCAATCTGCTAAGTTTAAAGGATTGAGAAGATACTCTCTTCTTGCGAGTTTGACTTTTTGCAGAAGTATCGATAGCGGCACCGAACCGAATCGCACCACACCAAACCAAACCAAACCAAACCAAACCACACCATACACCACAGGAGAAAGAGAGAGAAGTATTTTATTTATTCATGCCAAAACGTTGTCTACGAAGGGGTTGGGGGAATTTGAAGAAAATTCAAAAGGGACGTTCGGAATGAAAGCCTTCGGAGCCCCGGTGTCGGTGGCAGTGCTGCTGATGGTGCTGAAGCCGTCTAATGATGACATTTAAATGCAGTGCCGCATCGTTCGGTTCTTCATACCACCGACGACCTCACTCACTCTCTCTTTCTTTCTTTTTCTTTCTCTCACACACCCACACAGATACACTTAAACATATATATATATATGCGTTCTCTTTCTATCCACTATATTCTACCACTTCTTCTCGACCTCCGTTTCCACCTCCAACTCCACCCCTCCACCCACTTTCTCTCTACCACCAGCAAGCAGCCGCTTCTTCTTCTTCTTCTTCTTCTTCTTCCACTTTTGCACGAAGGATCGTGCGAGTTTATGTCGCACTCAAATTAACGATCCTACTTCAATTTTCCTTTATCCTTTATACTTAGACTGATTAAACGTATATATATATTAAGAAGTATTATAATACATAAAAAAGGAACTTTACAATATTCTTATAATATATCTTATATTGATTCGTATATATTCATCAAAATCTACTATCACATATCACGTTTGTTATTTGTCATTATATAAAATGTAACACTTTGTATTATATTTTAAAATTAATTCATCATATTTATTATTATTATTTACTTCTTTTTAATATCTTTTCCAGGATGTGATTGTCTGATGCGAGATAAGCTCGCAATCAAAATTCATCATCAACCAATAAGGATAAAAACCAAGGATGGAGAGTATTAGGGAGGAATGATAGAATGCAAGAGGGTAGCACCGCCGTGGCGCTAGCGATGGTGACTCCTGGTTATGATCAGGACCCTGCGAGTGGGGTTGCCGATTATACGACCCATCAGGACCAGGCCCAATTCGAAGCTGATAAAAGGGCCGTATATAAGCATCCCCTATTCCCCCTTCTCGCGTTACTCTTTGAAAGATGCGAACAAGCGACTCAGAGTTCGGACAACTCGACGTCCGAGAGCTTCAACATGGACATACAAGCTTTTGTGCAGCATCAAGAAAGAGACCGAAAACCTTTTTTAATCAATGACCCGGAAATTGATGGTTTGGTACGTTTATTCAGAACAAAAAGAAAAATACCGTTCATTGGCCAACACGATTGACCCCCGATTGTAGAATTTATTTAAATCTCGAAAGATAATTATAAATAATCTAAATTTCTATGATCATTTTTAAGATGATGTATACAATTTCATATCTTTTCCCTAGTTTTTGTTTTTATTGGAGTCAATCAATTAGGCAAATGAATGGGGGATTCATGCGTATCTCGATGCACGTTCGTTAATATAAATAAATGAATAACTGTTCAAGGAATTTCTTTTGTTTTATAAATATATAATAAAAACACGATTGTAGATGATCAAGGCGATACAAGTGCTGCGAATTCATCTCCTGGAATTGGAAAAGGTACAGGAGTTGTGCAAAGACTTCTGCAACAGATATATAACGTGCCTAAAAGGCAAGATGCAAAGCGAAAATTTGTTACGCAGCGACTACAGTCACCATGGACACGACATGGGTCCGTCCAGTGGCAGCAATGGCAGCAGTCCATTGCAGGTTAGATGTTTTCACTATGCTCAGGGCACCCTTGCCTGTTCCCTTACCTTAGTAGATATCCTTACAATCAGGGGTGTACGAGTATTACCATAATATTCAAATCTGTATGTGTATTTCACAGACAATCATTTGTTCAATGTCTAAAACAATATCAATGATCTCTTTGTACTAACAATTAGTATCCAACTAAATACGTCTATCGTCTCTCTTACGCGTATTAGTTTTATTATTACTATTAATTAAAATATTAAATGTAAATGAATACACGTGCATCCCTTAAAATATAATAGAACCCCGCCCTGCTCTCTGACGGCTAGTTGCGACATATATTTGCCAGGTGCTGTCATCTACAGGCAATGATGTTGAGTCGGGAACTAACGGATTCAGAGTAAGCAGAGGGGATCTGCTACTGGAAAACGTTGGTGCAAATCAAGTAGCCGTACAAGAGGACATTGGAAATGATAGACCTTCCTCGGTTCAATCGACGTCTACCAACCAATGTTCTGTCAGATCTAACAGTCAAGATCATGATGAGCCGGTATCACCTTCTACGGTACATGGAAGTACACCGCTTTCTCAGATCGGTGCTCATCCTTGCACTCCTGCCAACGATATGTATCTTGGTCAAGGTAAATCTACTAATTCTTATTAAATTCTTTTCATACCTCGCTGATAATATATATTTAATTGTATATTTTCTCACCACATATTTTTGGCCCGCAAATAAATCATTCGTTTAGATCTTTTAAGGATGATTGTAAATATTTAGTTATAAATAGCTCTCTTTCATTGCAGTTAAAAATAGTTAAAAAAACAAATTATAAATTAACGTTTATAGATGATATCGACTATGTAAATACTGCTGACAGAATATATTTAGAAGAAGTTGGATACTGGGGTCTTCTAGCACTACAAGAACGGGAAACCGAATATGTGGATGTTGGAGATGCTAATGATGAAAAGTATTTTGGTTAGACATTAATACATATCTTGAATTCTTATTGGGAACCTGATTATTAAAGATTATAATAAAAAAACGAATAGAAAAAGTGGACATAGCATAGCATAATGAATATAAATAATTATTAATATAAATTGTCTCAATATGAATTTTCTATATGTCACAATAATAAATCGTTTTTAGATATTATTGTTGCAGGATCACCACCTTCCCCAGCTCCAAGCGAAGATGAAGAAGAATGCGGCACCGGTACTGTTACCTCAAATCATGGTAGTATTCATGGTAGTAATCATGGAAATGTTAAAAAGGGAAGACAGAAGCGTGGTGTTCTACCTAAACAAGCGACCAGTATCATGCGAACATGGCTCTTTGCACATATAGTTGTAAGTTAATAATAAATATATGAGACGTAAAATGATATAATAAATAATATAATTACAAAAAACATCTCCTTATATATGTTTTAGCATCCTTATCCTACGGAAGACGAGAAACGACAAATAGCGAGTCAGACAAATCTAACATTGCTACAAGTTAATAACTGGTTTATAAATGCGCGCAGACGAATTTTACAACCAATGCTTGATGGTGCTGGTGCTGAAGCTGTATCTCGTGTAGGAAAACGTCATAAGGTATCCAAACATGCGGTACAGCAACAACAAATCCAACAGCAGCAAGCTGGCGGTGGAGGTGGCGGTGGTGGTGGTGGAGGTGGTGGTTGGCAGTCTGAAGAATCAGGAAGTGATTCGGGTTCTAGCGATGGTGAAGGAGGTGCCGATAGATCAAAAGACGGTAACGATAGCGATGAAGATGATCTTCACTGACCTCTGTCGATCACTAATGATACGTCAACAATAACCTCTTTAAGGTACCTTCAAATCCAGTTGCTTATTACAGTATTAAGGTATTCGAGGATAGATTTCGCTTTAACTGTTAAATACGTAATCATTCTCGCGGCAACCAAGGGTACATGAGTAGGGGTTATCACGCTCTCTCTCTCTCTCTCTCCTCTTCTTATCGTCTCCTACCTATGCGTCTATTCTGGGCTCTGGCTTTGTATCTTCCTTTTTATTACTATATTATTAGAAGAAAAAAATGGAAAAAATTTATTCTATTAATCTCTGAAAATATTAATTAAATCCTCCACTCATTACCCAAATGATTGAACGTTTCTATGATTAAAGAAATAGGAACAAACGAATATTTGATATTCCCCTTAAGTACCAGAATGAAAAATCGTGGTCTTCGATGTGTAACTTAATTGAAGTATACTGCGATTTTTTTTCTTTATAGAGAAAAAGAAAGATATGAAATTTTTATTGACTCTTATTGACTTTAATGTCTCTTCTCAGTTTTTTTTTGTGGTAAATTTAGTAATAAGAGTTAAATTATTCTTAGTATTTGTTTTTTTTGTCTTTTTTGTTATTACTTATAGAGTCGTTTTGATTTATGAAATCAATTCTATTTGCAATATAAAATATAAGTAGTACTTCCAAAAAATGGTTAATATATTTTTTGTTGTTTTACAATTTATAATGAAAATTTTCTTTAGTCTGCAATCGATAAAATGTTGTTTCGAAATATGTGCACACTGTTTATTTTACACACATAAAGAAAGAAAGAAAAGAAAAATATTAAAAGACAATGCAGACAATAGATAAAATGCTACGTATAAAATATATAAAGACATATTAAAATCTGTATATATTCATAAAATTTTGTTATTTATTGTAATTTCAATTAAAAATCATCTAATAATTTCACTAAGAACAACAGCAACCACACACAACATCTTCAGATTTGCGAAATATGCCATAATATACTAGCGTTTTTATATTTTTATACTAAAGAAAATTGCTTTCCCAAAAGAAACAAAAAAAAATAAACACAAAAGGTATATATTCTTTGTAAAGTTACGAGTAACTTAAATTATATCATGTTTTTCTAATCTACGTATGATAAAAATAAGAGAGAATAATTAAAAAAAAAAAAAAGAAGGAAAGAAAGAAAGAAAGAATAAGAAGAAGATTAAAGGGCAGTGTCTGAACGAGTAAACAATATTTAATTTTCCTTTTTTTTTTTTACCGCCTGTATTTTAATATCGTTTTTTCTCTCAGCTTCGCGAAAGAAAAAAGGGCTAAAAATTAAATTAGATAAAGGTGTTGAATTTTGATTTTGAATTGGAATATTAAATTACTTCCCCGTGTACACGACATCCGCGCTAGTCTAATATTTGCCGCAAACTAACTAAGTTGTTCCGCTCGTGCAGATATAATTAAAATAGAAAAAAAAAAAAAAAAAAAAAAAAGAAAAAACTGTTGTAAGTTAATGAAAATCATTGTTTTCCGTGCCATCAAGGAGCGTGGTAACTTCTACAATCTTTTATTCTCAGCTCTGCAGTGTCGTGACATAGCAAAGTGCTGTCCCTCCAAGTTAAACAATAATATTAATAATAATTATTAATAACAATAATGAAAATGATGATGATGATGATGATGATGATGAGGATAGTAATATAGTACTAATAATAATAATAATAATAATAATAATATTAATAATAATAATACGATCTATTAGTAACACGATGATAATATAATAATACTTAAAATATATGATGATTATATTTTTAAACTCTAAGTGTCGTCTCTGTGCAACTACCGTCAATTTATAAGACACGGTATTACTGTACATATGAATATGGAACTGTTACTAAGGTTACAAAAAACTGAAGAAAACAAATTATTATTATCTAAAAGAAAAGAAAGAAAGAAAGAAAGAGAAAAAAAAAAGAACGAAATTTTTCTTTTTCAATTAAACAAAGTCCTAAGCGAACGACGACACCCACATGCCATTTGTAGAATATAAGTAAATCTGTACTTTTGCTGTCTACACATGATCATTACGTTTTACGTGAAATATTTATTATATTTACTGGATACAGAGCGTTGGAAATATTTTTTTCTTTATTTCTCATTAAAAAATATTATACTAGTTGAACGTAATAATCTCTTCTGACGTTCCGTCCATCACTTTGTACATTTACAAATACATTTTCTTCCTGGATAATTTAAAAGAAAAAAAAAAAAAAACATATGTAACATAAAACGGTGAGAGATGTTTTTCTCTGAATGAATATTGCAAATGAAAATTAATAATAACTTCCATCTACGAATTATCATTTTTTTTTTTTCTTTGAATAGTTCGACGTATAGAAAATATTTTATTACGTTTTTTTTTTTTTTTTAAATAAATGCACGAATAAAGCTCACAGCTTACACGTAATCACACACTAGTCAGTTGAGTCTAAGAAAAATACGAAAAAATACAATACAAAAAGGGTTCTAAATATCGGACTACTATCCACTTGTACACAGTAAAGTTACATGAAAAAAAAAAAAAAAAAAGAAAAGAAACCTAAAGTCTTGAGTACTTCCTTATGCTTTAATGTACATAGTAGATTTACAGAGTGCTTCCATTAGTAATTTATAAATTACCCTTCAGTGTGTATTTTAAAAAAAAAAAAAGAAAAAAATGTGTACTTGAAGAGATTAAATCTATAAGATTTTTGACTAACTTCGATTGAAAAATTTTTGTCCGATGTATTATTGTTGTAACACTGAGAGATATGCAAAAGAAAAAAAAAGGAAAATAATAACACAGATATGTGCTAACATTATTATATTGTACAATTTAAAAGTCCAGTAAAACGCTATTATCAGTTGAAGACAGCTGACAGTATAGCTCCATATATGTGGTAGTATAAAAAAAAAAAAGAAAAGAAAAGAAAAAAAAAAGAAATTAAATATTAAATAATAATACGCGACAAAAAAAGAGAGAAAAATTATGTAAAGTCGTGGGGGGAGTATGTGGGGTTGTTTGTGGCGGTGATATGTTGTGTACGAATAACGGTGAACGGTGGTTTAACTAGAAATACGATAAAAACTATTAATTGATAAATGATCTATATGCTTAAATTTATTTCAATTTAACACATTTGTCGTCTTTCTCTTCTACGCTATACATTCTTTGCGAATGTTTTGTATTTGTATCTTTTTTTTTTTTTTTTTTAAAAAAGATACATCTAGCAAAATGCTCTATCTAGTTAGGCCGCTGTGTTTCTAAATGACAGCAATAATAATACATGCATGCTCCTGGTAGCATGAGACAAGAGACTAAAAAAGAAAAAAAAGAAAATAAATCGTTGCTTTAATATGTAACATATAAACTACCTTGTACGGAACTATACTGTTTTTTAAAATAATTAGAATTCAGATATAATGTTTAGATTAAGAGGTAGGTTGTAAGGCTGAACCACGTATACGTATGTGCTGCGGCACCAGACGACTGTGATAACTCGGTGGGCGGTGCCCAGCCTCCTACTTCATACTTGTATACTAAAAACTATGAAATACTTACAAACGCGAAATAATAACAAACAAACACAAGTGGGAGAAAAAAAAAAGAAATTCTTTACCGGTATCAAAGAGGTTGAAACTGTTGTGTGCGCGTGCATCGTAAAAAGAAATTAAAAAAAAGAAAAGGAAAGATAAGAAACGTTTAAATAATAATAATAATAATAATAATAATAATAAAAAAGAATAGTCCATATGCACATGAATAAAAATAATTTTTGTATGCACTTGGCATGTTTTTCTATTGTAATCCAAATAAATACTTTTTTCGTCCTTGAGATATATATGAAATTATACATGTGCGTAGAGGAGACAAAGAAAATTGTTCGCATGTGCACACGCACACACACACACACACACATATATGAACTGAAAATAACAAGAAGAGTAAGCCTCATACCCACGTCTCTCTCTGCAGGTTGATTATTGATTATCATGTAATGTGCGAAGTCCTACGTGTGAATTACATTAAATGTAAGATAGGAATGGACCAGAACATATATTATTATTATAGTCTTATAAATTGTTTCTTTTATTGCGAGTGTTTGAAATATCATTTATTTTATTTATTTTTCTTTTTTAATATTTGTTGATGTTTAAAAAAATGTTATTTACTCTTATTATTTTGTTGCTTCGAATTATTAAAAGATTATATATATTAATTTGTTACTTTATTCTTTTTTTTTTTTTTTTTGAATCGATGAATAAGGCAAAAGTTTTTTGTTTTTTTTTTTTTAGCAAGTATTGCTAAAATGTTATATCTTCTTCTTTTTATTCTATTAAAGTTTTATTAATAAAAGAAAAAAAAAAATATATTCTTTCGTAAGTTTTAAAAAAAGAAAAAAAATATTTATTGTCGTCGATATATAAAAAAAATATAATACTTCATTGGGAATAATTATTCGCAAATGAAGAATAAAAAAGAAATATAATCGGTCCATTCCTAACTTCCGCCAAATTTTTCAAACGTAAACTATACGTATTAACATACTTAAAAAAAAAAAAAAAAATGCGCATTAAGAAGCATTATTATCTCTCTCATGTACATCAAAGGCCCTGTTAAATAAGTTGTTTATTGATAATAAATGCCATCACGCTTGCAATACAAATTTTTCCATCTTTGTCGTACCGATAAGTCTCTCGCTGGTCATATTGTTATATTAATAATAAATATAACAAAACGTTTTGTAAAACAAATAATAAATTCCTGCTACATATTTTAGTGTAGTAAATTTAAAAAAAATAAAAAAAAAAAAAGCAAAAAAAAAAAACAAAAAAATAAATAAAAATGATAATAATTGTAGCGATTAAGAAAATTTACGATCAAGTTCTTTCCGTTTTATTATTACATTTGGCTTTTCCACAATTATTAATGCCAAGTAATTGAGCGTACGATATACTTGAAATATGATATTAATCGATTCTGCATAAATTTTGTTCTTATAATTGTCCTCGTCTTGTCTAATTCTTTACCCTTAACATATTCCGCGCGTTTGTGTGTGTGTATTATGTGTTTAATTTTTCTTTTTCTTTTTTTTTTTTTTTTTAAAGATACCATTACGTGTCAGTATTAACTTTTATTTTTAATCATTAATATTATATACTACAAAATATTTGATTTTTGTTTTGTTTTAGTAAAATCAGTTTGGGTACTCCACAAAATTTGTTCTTCTTTTTTTATTATACAACACTATTTGGATGACTGTTTCTCTATAATTTTTTGTTTTGTTTTTCTTCTCTTCTATGTAAAAAATACATTATTCTATTCAATTCTGATTTTTATATAAGTATTTTTAAATTGTACTACACGAAAAGAAGGTATTGTACACAGACCACCCCCCTTTCTTCGACTAAATTTCATTCTCTCTAATATAACCGATGCAAGACTTCATTTGTAACATACAGAAGAAGAAATCTACAGAGGAAAGTATTTGAATAAATTTAACTATAAATTAATTTATATATATATAACCTTATGTGCAAATAAATGCAATATTAAATATATTAAATATAAAAAAAAAAAAGAAATAAGAAACTTTGTAATATTATTCGTTTCTTTAGAAATTAATTGTTACTAATCACGATTAAGTAAATGAATTATCGTAGTTTTTAAAAGTTATTAATAAAAATCTGTAAGCAGGATATTACGACAAAAAGATGCTTGAATCATTACAAATATGACTGCATCTTTCCTCAAAATAATTCATTGACTAAAGATAAAAATCAAAGCGATGCTTGTCTATAATCATTCACAAACAATGTTAGACGTTATTTTCCATAAAAATATACTTTTTTAAATACGAATATTTTGTTTCAACCAAAAGTTTTACCATGAATTATATAATTTTCAGATTGCCTCGTTTTTGAATACGTTGTTCTGAAAATCTATATTCATTGTATTATAGTTTAAAGAAATGATGAAAATATTCTTTAAAACATTTCACCTTATAAATCATACATACACTCATCTCACTTTTTTTTAATGCATCATACATCCCACGTTAACTCAATATTTTAAGATAAATTAATTTTCTTGGTATATATTTTTTTTTAGTGAGGTGAAACCCTAATTTTCTTTTGATACAGACTTAAAAAAATCGTCCGAGGGCGTACCACACATATATGTTTAAAGGCTTGTTACGGGAACATCATCTCTTCGATGATCCAACCTGGTCATTGATATGTGGTCCGCAGCGTATCCCTAGCAATCAACAGCTCGCCTATAAAATGAAACTTTGTCTGTTTTATATCTTAAAAAAATGTATATGCATTTTTAAAATAAACATACATTGTTTTATCACCTGGAATTAAATAATATATCAGCCTTGGAATTAATAAACCACACTAAAATAAAAGATGTGCTAGTCACTATGCTGCCAAGAATCATGCTAAGACGTTCTGTTGCTGCAGAAGGTTTCAAGAACATTCTAACACTTAGCATTTGCCATATAGATTCTGTCCACGTTGAAAATATTCCTGACTTCATATCGTAATCTGTATTAAATAGGATCATTTATATTTATTATTGTATTCATATTCTTATTAAATTAAATTAAAGTACATACCACTGATGATGAATGCTGGGCTTAAAGCTATACTGTAATTTACCGTTGAATTTATACAAATTCCAGTTAAATTATATCCACCCATCCACGCGTGATGATGATCGTAACACGCTGTTTCATTCATTTCTAATATTTCGCCAGTTAACAGAGCCAAAAGTTGACCAGTTAAAATTGTAACGGTATTAGGTACCCTATGTACACTGACGTATAAAGGTAAAATTTGATCGGCCAACTTGGTTCCTGGAGACGATGCTGCGTGAAACAGATTACATTTTGCGCTTTCTAGATAACAAGACAACATTTCAGAGATAATATTTTCGATCCTATTTACATCTCCACTTGGAGCTTTAACACCTGTGACGTTGTAATACAAAGTCTCCGCCAAAGTGACGCTTATATTTGTTAAACTCGACGCAAGATCGTTTGTATCATTTCTAAAATAAAACAAAAAAATAAACGTTAATTATTAGAATGATATATTATTCTGTATATTTATTATAATTTGTAATACCTGTTGAAATTAAGACTCTTGGCATTGTCTAAAATGCTGTTATAATAATTATTGGTAAATTGATCAGGATAATTAGTTATAACGATGGTTGTAAGACTCGGTTCTGTTTCGAGAAAGCTTTGTACAGACGTAGGTGGAACGCTATTACTCAATACTTTAGCTTGTAACCCTTCGGTTAACTGACTTATCATTGTATTAGTCTTATTGTTGCTAACGTGCAAAAATAAATCTCCTTTGGATAATTGACTAAGTTCGATTACAGTTAAAATTTCATTAAGTTTTAAACTAATTCCACCGAGAGCATTAAAATGACCCTCTTTTAGATCATAAACCAATCGACTGGAACCTATATAGTCAAAAGCTTCTCCATTAAGAAGAGTAAAAACAACATTTGTATCTGAAAATAATAAATGATATTATTTCGTTGTTAAATAATTATGCGTGAAGATTCTGAAATAAAGTAACTTACTATTGATATATGGTTTCAAAGAATTCAAATAAGTAGCGGTTGCTAATAATGAAACTATGCCTGTTATTGTACTTAATGCTCCAGGAGATATTCCATCAAACATAGAAGACGCATCTATTCTGGAGGTAACCATAATTACAGAATTGGAATCTGATTTCAATGGTGCTAATGGCCAATGTATATTCCTATCTCCGAGTGGATCACAGAACGATGTAGGATTAATATTCAAATAAAAATCGCTACGTTTTATACACGAATCAGAATTAATAGCCGAAAACATGAATGATTTCATCTCCAATGCGCACAAAGAACGCTCGCTTTGATTTTCAAGATCGTGAGCATTATGATTCCAAAAACAAGACTTTATAGCTTCCAAAAGTGTTTGATTCTGTAGCAATATGAAATTGTTATTATTAGATAAATTTATAAAATATTATAAATAGTTAATATATGTATAAATTAATGACCTCCATATAAAACATGGGAAATGGCCAGTCTTCTAATAGAATGGATGATCCGTGAGGATTCCATGGACGTTTGTCGTTACATTTTTTATAATTTGAATATCTGTTTGGACAAGTATCCTCGGGCGAATAAAAATCTGGATAGTTTTTACTAGTATTTCTTGCCAATAGTACGCCATTGATATTGTTAGTATTTTTCAAACGTAGAAGAATATCTCTGGTAAACATTGAAAATGGTAAGACCGCAGTATATGGGCCTGCAGTTGCTTTAGTTTCCAACCATCTGACGTCGTCTTCTTGTTCTATTAAATGTATTACTCCTACGCTACCAGATCTACTTGCTGCGAGAAGCAAGTACAATAAATATTAAAAAGTTGAAAGCTATTAAAATATTTAATATGATTGTATAGAATTATTTACACGAGCAACCAAATTGATGTGTTCCATTGTGTCTTCGAAAACAACCAGCAGCTCCATCAACTGACATATAAATCATATCCTTGATTCTTTTGGCATTGACTGCAATAATGAATTTTATATATAAACAAATTATTTTAAAAAGAATAACTAATTTGATATACGATTAAAGAAAAATCGTATTTATTTTGTAATAAAAATCGTATAGAAATAAATTGCATACCAATTTGTATTATAACTAATAGAAAAAGATATTTCCACGTAAGATATTTTGCCATTGTTATCACTGAGTACTCCAAACGTCAAAGTAAGAAATTCTAATAGCGTAAATAAAGATAGGTTAGGAATAATGCATCATCTAACACTGATACTGGGATAACGAAGTACTCACTAATTCGAACCCAACACATATAAAATTTCTTATTAAAATTGATATACAAGTGCAATTTCACTCTCGATTTTTTCTAAGTATATATCCCTGAGAATCTTGTAAGTTCCATCTATCGAAAAAACTGAGGTATTAATAACTGCATTATTATCGATCGAGATGCGCGACTTTAGCGACACATGCGGATTAAAATGAACTAAGAAGAGCGTCAGAAATACCCTACCCCTTTTATATATATATATATATGTTTTATTATTTTATTTTCTCTATGATTAAAGAAATTATGTTTTTCTTTTTTTTTTTATATATAAGTATTATTACAATCTTTTGATTTTATCGTTTATATTATTTATGTAATCGGTAATTATTGGATATATTAATTATTATCTTTTAATGCATTTGAATTTGAGTTCTCCGTCTGGTGCATACATGAACGTAACTTTGTATTTCAATGGTTGGTGGTGGTATTCCAACTTGTACGATCGTATCAGCTGAAGCATAACAACATAAAAAATATGTCATTATATAATGAAGAGAATTTTCAATAAAAATAATTATATATTAAAATGACATACTTTAGCGAGTAGTACTTGCATTTCAAGATCAGCGAATCTTCTACCAAGACACATGCGTGCACCATATCCATATGGCAATGACGCAAACGGATGAAACTTTTGATCAACGGAAGTTTTAAGCCATCTAGATGGTTTAAATGTTTTTGCATCCTCGACATATTCCTCCATGTTTCCAGTTACAACTGTTGGAAATACAACTTGGACCTATTATATATAAATTATAAGATTACGAAAGAAAGATGTTATCAATGATTTAAATATTTCAACAGATTCAAAGATAATCATTAAAATCGATAATTACTCCTTTAGGCACTTTGTAACCACAAATTATGCTATCGTTTTGTAACGTTCTACCATTGCCAATAACAGTTGAATACATCCTGCAAAATGAGATGATAATTATTAATACTAAACGTAACCGCGAATTGTCGGAAGATTATATCAAATGTTTAATTAATATTCTGCATTCAATTTTATAACTTTTTTTTTTCATCGAATGGGTTGAAAAGTTTTAAGAGCTCTAACACATAGAAACAATTCCCTTTTCTTTACCTAAAAACTTCACGAATAAAAGCTTTAGTGTAAATAGCTTGATCGAGATGCGACACAGTAAGAGGAGTATTCGGATCAGGAAGAATTTGAAGTAATTCTTGATAAACTTTTTCTTGTTCTTCTTGTCTTGTCGCCAATTGATATAATATCGAGCATACCGCCATTGATATCTAAAACAATGATTATTGTATAAAGGTATACATTTTTATTCAATACAAATGATACCTTTGTAATATTTCTTTTTTCTTTTTCTCTATGCAATTAAAATAAATATATTCCGTATTTATTTTTTACCGTATCAATGCCGACTAAAATTAAATCCAACGCAAGAATGTAAGCTAATTTCGGATTAGCATTGGTCGCTAAAATTCTTTCCACCATCGAAAGATCTTCCTCCTTCGTAGATTTTTTTTCCTTTAATCTTTCCATAGCAGCATCGATGTATTTCGTGCATACTCTAAAAATTAATTATTTTATTTTATACAACAGAAAAAAAAACAGACAATCAATATAAGATCAAAATTAATCTTGATACAAAATTCCGAATCTGAATTTATTGAAATTTAAATAGAACTTACTCGATAAAATAATTCATATTACGAACATATCGTGTCCAAAGTGGAGTTGGTATGTATCTCCAAAAAGGAGCTTTCAATTCAAGAACTGCTACGTTTCTCAAAGCAAATTTAGCAGCATCGATAATTTTCTGTGGTTCTGAATCTGGTTCAAGCGATTCACCTAAACACCCTAATCGTACGTCCAAAGCTACCAATCCTATACCTTCATATATCAAAACAATTGTAATATAATCAAAATTTGTTTTCAAATCTAATTAATTATAATAATAAAATTTTACATTCAAGAGCCCATTTGTGTATTTCGTTATCAAAATCTCCCGGCAATTCTCCGTTTTCTTTTTGAATTTCTTCTATCCTGCGAAACGAATTTGTGATTGAAATTATTTATTAAATTAAATTATCATATTATGTTTTCTTCAACGGGGGAGGGGGAGGGGGAGGGGTAGGGGAATTTTAATTTCTGATTTATTTAATTTAATCACAATTACCTTGTTATGAAATCACTCGTGACAGTTTCTATAGGTGTTATGTACTTCTTTACAATTTGCGGTTGTAAAACTGGTTTCTGTATACGCGTACGAAATTTTCTCCATGGTTCACCGTGTCTAGTTAAATATTGATTTATTATAACAAGCCACTTACAAAGTGGCACTCAATGATGTTTAATGTTTCGACAATTTACCAAAGAAGTTTTTGTTGACATATTAAACAATCTTTCGTTTTTTTTTTCCTTCTGTTTTAATATTTGAATTGCGTATAAAAATGCAGAACAAAATATGGGAATAAATGTAATGTATAGAATAAATAAAAAAAAAAATGAAAATAATTGTAGAATAGCCATAAAAGGTAAAGTTCAAGGTTCGTCTTGAAGATTAAGATAAGATTTATAATAGACGAAGGTTTAATAATTTTCCAGAATTTGAAGTAGCTATTCAAAAGGATCCTAAGTCATTAGAAAATTCAAATCTCTTAAATACTTTTTCAACAATTGTAGAAAAAACTTTGAATACTCTTTGAATTACCCTTTGAATAAAAGATTAAGAATAAAATCTATAGATGATTTGTGTTTGATAAAATAAAAAATTCTTTTATTCCAACGAAAAAGTTTCCTTTCGATTTATATAAAAATGATGATGATCTAAGATCCTAATGACTTTAAAGGGCTACGTGAGGTAGAAAGAAGTGGCTACACCTAAGTTAAACAGATCTAAAAGAATTTTTTTTTTTCGAAAGAGATAAGAGAATCATCAGACCTATTGTATTGCCTTGTCGTAAATATTTTCCAAATAGCATAAAATGATTCAGTATTGATATAAGCACAAACGAATAAAAGAAAATAAAGATTTCGATAAATAAAAGATCAAGATATATTTTTTTTTCTTTTTGTTAGGACCTCGTCTTGTTATAATAGTTTTTTTATTGCTATTTCCGAAAGCAGTTTACTATTTTTACCAAGGGTAGTTTGCTAATCTCACCCTCGAACACTCCTCCTTTGTTTGGGCTTGGAACTAGCTAGGTATTAACTAGTGACTTGAATATATATATAATATAATATAATAAAAATATTTTCACCTACACTCCGACAACACCGCCTATGTCTTCGAAGAAATCTTTACGAATAATGCTTTTATAATGAACCAAACATGGCATCGATGGTCTGAAAGGGGTTGGCCCTTCCTGACGATAAACCTTTTCTATTTCGTCAGCGTCATAAACAAAAAGTAAATCAGGTCGACCGATTAAACCACTCAAACGAACGATTTTTCCATATTCCTCGTAAAACAATTGACTTATTTTAGCGGTATCAGAAATTTCATATTGTCCGATCAATGGCAACATTCTCCATGTGTTTCCTAATATCGGAATAGGCTTTGGTCCTGGGATTTCGTTATAAGGTTTTACATTAAATTCCACGTCTAAGTTGGTGCACTACAAAAAAAACAAAGGTTAAATAATTCTTTATTTTTTCTTTTTCTTTTTTTTTTACACGCTACCACCATACATATTTCGTTGTTGTTACTATCATGATTAATTATTATTCGAAGGATCGTACCGTTTCGGTGTACATTTTTCGTGAAAGTATTTCTCGTATGCATCTCTCGTGCATCGAAATGCACGACCGCAAAAGCCGGCTGATTCTATCAACATAATTGTAGATTGGATTCATGTAAAAGGTTAATAATATGGCCTCGATTTTGTTTTATTGGGAAAACAATAAATAATTTTATAATTTATGTATTAACTTTATATCGAATGATAGATCATTTTTTCTTCAATGCATTTGATTGTTATTTATTTTTCTTTTTATATTTACGTTATCGAAAATAATAATAACGGCAATCGTTTACGTTGAACATACTTTAAACTTTTTCAAATGTTTTATCATTTTTGTAGATACTACGGAGAATTAATAATATTGTTTGATCGGATAAAGTTGTTCGATTAAATTAGAATGATCTTTCTTTCTGTTACAATCGCGAATCTGTTAGATTCCGATCGGGGAAACTAAACTTTCTCTTCAAACCAATTTGAAACGTATGTATGTTCAACGATGTCGCTTCCTAACGATAAAATAAGGTTACCTTCATGAGATACTTCTTTAGTTAAAAGACTTGAAATATAATTATGTAATATCAATCAAATTAAAATTAAAAAATATCAATTACTTATGATACAAATAATATTTTAATCAATTTTGTTCCAATGAAATAATCGAAAGAAGATACAACAATAAAAAAATAAAAATAGACGTTAAATGAAGAAGGTGAGAATTTAGATTATTATGACGTCCTACTTTCAAGATTGGAATCATATTTGCTTTGTTGAACGTTCCATTCTTATTCCTTCAGAACAAGCATAAGCAATTAATCGCTAAGAACCTTTAGACATAACAGATTTTTTCCCGTTATAGGAAAAGAAACTTTTGAAGAATTGCGCAAGAAATATTTCCGATTCAATCTCATTTATAATATCTGACAATTTTTGAATCCTATGTAAACTATGAATCACAAAAGTTAGAAAAATGTTAAAGATACCTTCCATACAAATGGATCTTCATAATGACCACGTAACCTTGCCTCTTTCCGATAAAAAAAGAATATTTATTCTTTTCTGAAATAAAAAGTGTAACTTCTTTTTTTGGAAAATCAAATAACAGCTAAAAAATATTGTTCATTCCGAAATAAAATTTAGCATATACGTGTAAAAAAGACACAAACACACACGCGTACACGTGGAATAATTTGATTGAAGTATTAATTTGAATAATACACAAAATTCGAATGAATGTTAATAATTATAATAATAATAATATATATTACGAGAAAAATGGACTGCACCATAAATTTTTAATTATTATATACATAAACACACACGTAGAATAATTGAATTGAAAATAATATTTGTAAGAAATAATAATAAAATATATTTCAAAGATGTACCGACACTACGTCGTGCGTGAATAATATTTAAAACAATTGGATTGACTTAACACTGATAGAGTGTCCACGCGAAATGAAGACCAGAATGCATACACAACGGATATACCTCCCACTTTTAAATCTAATATCTCTTTCGTTTCTTCCTCCTCTTCCTTTCTCTTTCTATAATTTGGATGTTGAAAACACGCGAGGTGAGTATATGAAAGCTAAACAAAATATCGACCTTCGTCGGCTTCCTGACAATACTTTTTTTTTTTATGATTCTTTCTTTTAATCATTTGTGTTTTTATATTTTCTTTATATCACACAAATTATCTAAACGATTTAACGCGCAAAGTATGAAGATATTACGAAATACGTAGTTAACTCGTTAAAAAAATAATAAGAAAAATTATATCGATTAAATTTTTCTCATTTTTATAATTATCAATGACGTTTTATGATAAATGAAAAAAAAAAAAAAATACAATGAAAATTCAACAATTGTACGGTTTTAATTTCAAGCAAATACACGGATATTCAAAAGAAAAACGCGGAATATGTTAAAACTGATTTTTCGTGTTTAATAGCATTTGGAATACGTACAAATAGAAATATTGAATGTCTAGAATTTTGTGATCCTTAATGACATCCTGTCGCCAGTTTGGTGGCCGACTTCTGTCGCGACAGTGGCGTCATTATTGTTAAAGGTTTGTTGATCTTTCTTTTCTTTTCTTTTTTTTTTCTATTGCATTCGTCTAAAATCTTTTTCTTCTTCTAGTTTTTTTGTAATGTTACATATTTATTTGAATAGGCAAAACTTTCTTTTTTTTTTTCCCCAGAGATAAGGAAACAATATTAATGGCATTTCCTTTCAACCTTTTTTTTTTCCCCTTATCTTTTACCTGCACTAATCTCATTTCTTTAGAAAAAAATTCAGCTTCTTCTTTCCTTTAGATATTTTTTATATTTTTTAGATGTTTTCCTTTTCCGAGATATTATTTAAATATGATTAAAAATACTATAAAAATAATAATAGAAATAATATTGTTTGTTATATTTTTAAAATACTTATGAGACATTTTAAAAAATAGTTATAACAATTTATGAATGTTATAACAATGAAGAAAATTATTTGTACGAATGTTGAGAAATTGTTTGTAATAGTTTAACACAAGTAAAACATTTTTTATCGATCGATTTTACGTATCACAGAATGAAACTACGCGAAAATTGCATGAATTAAAATATACAAAAAGAATTCATTAATTTAAACAAAATCAACCTAGACATATGCACTTCATATATAGACCGTTTATTTTGAAAATGGTGTAAGCCCATTTTTGAAATAAAATGAAATATCACGTAATTCGTGTTTAATTTAATGTAAATCTTTTTATGTATAATTAGTCCGTGTTTAATTTCTTAAAAAAATTCCATGTTTTGTAGAATTTAAAATTGGTCGATAAATGAAATTGCATAATCATTAATAATGCAAGTGATGTAAGTCCAATTTCCATAGAAAAAAAAAGAAAAAAAATAATATAAAAAAGAATTTCCTGTATATATATATCAAATTATATATTATTATAAAAAATATATAATCAAATTACATATCGATAAATTAATAGAAACATTATTGAACTTGATATAATTAACCAATATATGCAAACCTTTAATTTTCTCGAAACAACAGAAAATGGATTTACACCACTTTCAAAATAAACGGTCCATGTGTAAAGAAAATTAATATATATATATAAATATTTATATTATTTGAATTAATTTTATATTTTTTTTATAGATGATGATGTCTCTGCGGTTGTAAGGTTACACGAGAAAGGGATGGTATTGTTCGGAGAAACCTAAATGATGATACCTTTGTGGGAATAAAACTGTATGGGGAAGGGATAAAATTGTATGGGGAAGGGGTAAAATTGTATGGGGAAGGGGAAAGTCTTTTTCTGAGACTAGTGGAGGTGTGAAATAGGTTTCCTATAAAAGGGAAGGGTACAAGATTTGGATTCATTGAGAGATTAGCCCTCGTAAAGTTTGGTCGTGACTTTTACCTAAGTATCGTAAATAACCCCGTGCGTGAATAAATATTTTATAAAACTTAAACCATGAAGTCTTATAAGAAGTGGTTCCAGAGGTCTGTTATGAAGCAGTTACCGAAATCAGTGAGTGTCTTATTCCTTTTTTTTCTTCTATTTATTTTTAATGTCACGTTCTTTTTTAATAATAATTTTATTAACAGCAACTGTATTAAAGATATATTATTCATGTTTTTTTTGTTTCGGATTACAGTGCGATAACAAGTTAAACGGAGAAAATAAAACCGAGAACGAATCATTAAAAAAGAAACTGTTGTCGTTTTGGCCATTTAACAAACATTCATCGGCGAAGAACAAAATGTTCATTGAGAATATAACGTTCATGAATAATCAAAAATTACCGCAAAATGATTATTCTTTCCTTGACATAAGTAAGATACTTGATTATTTTCTTATTTCCTAATTAATCTATTTCTCATTTTTTCTAAATTAATATAAAGAAAATTATCTTTACTTTATTCGCATATATATTTGATTTATATTTAATACGTATCAAAAGATCTAACAATTATTTTGTTTGAATCTTTTCAGAACTTGGTGTGTATAATAAATTGTGTGGTATGATTGACGCGGATATCGATTTAAGCGTTTTACCGGAGCAGATTGAGGAAAACAATCATTTATCGGTCGATAATCAAATGCTTGAAGGAATAATTGATCCTTTGAATGAACCGCCAAATCTCAATAATGAAACATTGAAGACTATTAAAATTTTTGATCTCAACAAAGTAAACAGAAGTTCGGATTCATGTAGGAATCTGATAAATTCACTATCTACAACTGCTGCAACTAGTATAATATTTAATAATGTTAATACATTAAAATCTATACAAGTTACAAATAAGGTATCTAATGTTCCGAAAGAATCATCTATACAATATCAACAAGAAGGACAACGACAAAAAGCAGAATTACAAAAGTTGCCGGAGAGAAATGAAATAGCAGAAAATATTTGCGAATCATCTAATAATCTTTCAGTTCTATCGGATCCTGATAGAATTAGTAGAAAGATACGGAGGAATTATGGTCGTGTACATAACATCATTTTAAATATGATGAAAGACTATGAACCAGAAAAATTTGTACCGTATGAACCTGTATCTTCTGAATCTACATCATCTGTGCATACAATGGCATCGAACATTTTATTTGCTAGCAAAGATATAATATCGTCTACTAAACGTGAGGATGATGATGATAACACAACTTTACAATCATTGGCTTGCGCGAAGTTACCGAAAAATTCTACTAAGAAGAAAATAACAAATTTGATCACGAAACCGACTACTAAGATTAATTTGAATGAAACGTATGTAATAAAACCAAAAGAAACGAACTCTGATAAACCATGTGTAGTCGCTGTGCTCAAGAAACAACGTGATGGAAAAGCACCCAATCCATCTAATGAAATGGCCTGGTATCCTGATCATCGTCCTTCGATTACGTCGAAAAAAATAGTCAAGAAATAAAATTGCGAGGCAGCTAATACATAGAATAAAATCTAGAAGAATGCTTCATCTGCGAGTAAGAAGATCAAGAGGTGCAATTTTTAACAATGCATCTGGCCATTGTAATAAAACCTCATATAGAGGTTTAAAACAATGGAATTATTCAGATGTTGTTATTCTTTTTTTTTTTAGATAAGATAAAATCTAGCATAATAATGTTTCCTTTGCAATATTGTAGATTTATTATGACCAAAGAATATGCAACACCGTGCAAGTATTAATAATTTTTATTATTATTTATCAAAATTAATATTAACTCTACTTTTCATTATATCTGTTACTTTATTTTTAATTTTATCTCTTACCAGATTGATTCATATACATAAATATAATCTAGAGTTATGTATATATATATATTTATTATTAATATTACCTAAAAAAGTATTTTGTTAGACATAATTCCTGAGACAAAGCAAGTGTATTAACTAGTCACTTTAAATTGTCAAAAATCTATGTTTCTACTTATGTTGTGTATGCAATTTATATCATACATTGTACTTTATTTACAAAAAAAAATATTAAAAATAAACTTAAGACATCCTAATTTTTTAATGTTTATTAAATTAAAATACCTGCAACCTATATATCCACTATGTATCCAAAACTTTGGTACATCTCCTATAAAAATTCTTAGAGAGTTATATTTTTATTTTTTTTTATAGAATATAAAATAAATTTATATTATATTTAGTGTTTATGTGTGTGCCTTCAAAAATGCATTTATACATATATTTTAAAAGGTAGCTATATTTAAGCTGCTCAAGTTGAAGAAAATTAAAAAGATTTGCTGTTAAATCCCACGATGATCACCTGTAACAAGAAGAAAACTATATAAATCATACAATCAAAAGTAATACAATAGCCTAACATAGAAGTCGTCCAATTCACAGGTGCACTTTTCATTTAAATTTCCTATTTATTTTTATCCAATTTCTCTATTTACCGTTTGTAAAATAAATTTAAATTTAAACGCGTGATTTTCATTAAAAAATATAATGAATTAAGAAATAGGAAAAAAGTAGAAATATTATAATAAGTTACATATAAAAATATAATATCTATTTTTTAATTATTATAAAATACTTTTAAACTATACGTTACACATATAAAAGAAAAATTGCAAATTGAATAAAATACGATGAGAGTAACAAAAATCTTAAAGACGAACAAGAAAAAAGAAATGATTGTAATATTTACTGAACGTTAATTAAATTTCAAAATTTAATAACACGAGAATTTTAATATTTTTGACTCTAACTGACTAAAAAGTTCTGCACCTTTTGGACGATTTAGACACAGATTTGGTGTGCCAAGGAGATGGAATGATCCATCATCTCCAATTACAACTACAAATTAATGACGAGCAAGCAAGTAATAAAAAAAAATAAAAATATAACTCTCTAAGAATATTTATGGAAGATGTACCAAAGATTTTTGGCATGTTTAATATTCAATTATTTAATTTATAAAAATATCTGTTTCAGATCAATCTTAATTTTTCCATGGATCATAGATCTATGTGTTGTTTTCTTTTTATTTCAATATTATTTGCTAGTTCAAATGAAAATATGAGGTTCTTTTATTAATTATATTTAAATTAAAATATTTTTATATTTGTTTGACAATTTTTTAATTAATGAACGTAAGTTTACGCAAACAGGCAATTAATTGGCTAGTTCATTGATAACACGTATATCATTCAATCGTGTGTATGAATGAAAGTCAGTAGTAGGGGTAAGAGTTTCGTATTTTCACCGTCAATTTCAAGGGGCACTACTGTACGCACACACACACAAATAAACACTAAGAAATATAATATATATATATATATATATATTTAAAATTTCATTAAAAAAAAATATTATTTCGAATATTTGTGTGGATATTTATCATTTACCAATTTACCGATTGCAAAGGATTACAAATTATATTTCATCGCGATATTTTGCTTATTGCATTTTTTCATTTATCAAAAACTTTGATAGGTATAAAAATGAGAAAGAAAAAAAAAAACTAAATCGATTATTCTTTTTATTATTTTTTTAACTAATTTTCAAATATCTTAATTTTTGTAAAAAATATAAAAAATAACGTTTGTGCAATTGTTGATACTAAGCACAACATTTAAACAAATTTTTCCAAATAACATTTCATTCATAAGATTAAAGTTGAAGCGAGAAGATGATTTTTTTGAATTTAAAAAAAAATGTTATGTTTATATCTATTTTTTTAAAAAATAAAATTTTTTCACACAATTATTTGAAAGAAAATAATATTTACAAAAATTTGAAGACGATATTTCCTCGTTTGAATTCTTATCTTTTGTAAAAGACCTTGTTCGTGAAAATCGATTTAGAATAATATTCAAATTTATTCTTAGCGTAAAATCTATTTTTATTATTTGTCAAGCATGGTTAAAAAACATTCTGAAATTTACAAAAAATTATAAAGAAATATTACAAATAATTATTGATTAATTTCATAAAGTTCGATTTTATTATCTATACAAATTATTCTTTAAGACTTCCACTCCTTTCTCTTATTTCTTATCTTTAGTTATCAGATCATTGACACCTTGATTAAGATTAGATATGATATTCTTTGAACAGCTATATATTAATTGCCTGTTGAGAAATATAATTGTTTTCTTTTTTACATAGTTTATTAAATTGTTGATATAACATTAATAAAATACCTAAATTAAAAACAATATTCAACAATGTCTGTTCTTAAACATCTTTATCTCGATGATATTATCACATCTTTTCCAGAACTTGGACCAACTATACAAGATGGGGGTTACTCGTGGATTATTTTGCTCGGTGTATTCCTTATTCAGGTATATATTAACATAAAGAATTAGTCTCTGTTATTTTAATGCATTCCTTGCATATAAATTTTCTAAAAGTATATAAAATTTTCTAAGGGATAATTCACATACACTGCATAACACATTATATAGAGTTTAAAGAAATGATGTGCAAAATATTATATGTCACGCATACAGATGACCATACCAAGTATACTATCTGTATACGGTATTGTACTTGGATATCTGACTGAAAATAAGACTGCCGATTTTGAGTTGTGGGATCAGAAAATCATTTTGACACCTATACTCTTCATAGCATTTTGGAATTTAACAGGTGAGTTTATTCTATTTTTATTATTTTTATAATTATCATATGTAGATTATTTTATGTTATTCTTTTTATAGATCCATGGTCTAAAATGATTGTGGATTTGACTTCTGTTCCACGTGTAATTGGATTGATAGGCATAGCTCTTATATCAATTGGCGTTTTAGCATCTGGGTATCTTGCTACCGGTGGAGTTGGTGCATATTTAGCCAGCTTGAGTGCTGGCGCTGTAATGGGCATAGGTGCAAGTTTCGTTATGGTTCAAAGCCAAGAATGTTTGTTAAAATATTTCCGGATAAAATTATCAATAGCACTTACTATTAAAAATATTGCATTATCATTAGGGTATATCATAGTCCCAAATCTAACTCATTTATTACTTATGCGAGTTTCTTTGAAAATTGCTCTTTTGCTCATAACAGTTATTTTTGTACCAACTATTTTGGGTGTCATTTTGTTACGGCAACCAATGTCTCCAAAACCTTCGCAGTATAATTTACTCTTAACGAATGAAGATAACAATGATGTTTCTGTAAAATATAGTTCTAATATGGGATTAGAATCTATAGAGAACAATAATGTAGAAAATTTATCTTCACATGGAACAGAACAAATGGAAGATACGAACTCTTCATTTGCAGGACATAATGAAATTTATACGTATGAAGATAGCGAAGAAGATATTTTTGTAAGATCAGTTAAATCAAGTAACAAATGGAAAAATCATATTCGAATATTTGTGTATTTACGATTTTGGATGAGTATACTTACATGGGTTGGAATCAAATCTTTCACTTTATTCTTTTGGATACTGTTACCTTATATGTTTATCACAAAAATATCTTCTTCGCACAATTATGTTACAATATCAATTATTGCGGGCTTTGGTATTCTTCTACCAAATTCTATTACCTTCTGGATTTTGGAAACTATCCCACAAAATAGACGAATACTTTTTGGTATAGCATGTTGGCTTGGATGTTCTATTCTAGTGGGTATGTTTAAAGAAACGCATGATTTTAAAAAAGAATTGATCGCACATGCAACTCATATTAATAAACTATTTTTTCAGTATTAACATATACTCAAGAATATTATGTATTCATGATTAGTGCATTGCTAGGAGGGATAAGTATCGGTCTACTATCAGTTTGCCAAGATTCAATACTTTTGGATATTTTTGGACCTCGTTTCGTAGATCAATTTCATAAAATATTCTCAACAATAGTGGGAATCTGTTTATTATCTCTTTGTTTCATACATAGTAAGTAACTTTTATTTTGAGATATGTAGAAAATCAAACAACAGTTTTATTTTATATTTTATTTATCTTTACAGACGCTGTCCTTTGTTTTCGTTTAGTTGCATTATTTTTATTTTTAAGTGGTTGTTACTGGATATGGTTGCCAATTTTTAATATATTAAAGCATCGTTGCATTGCATGCTGTAAAGTTACCTAATTTATATTTCATTTGTATTTGCATAAAATTGTTTTATATATATATATATATATCATCTATAAAAAAAAGTATCTTGTCTATCAAAACCATAAAATCATACATAGTACGCTACATTTATATATAGAACATTTTTTTCTTATTTTGATTTGTATAATATACTTGTAAAGCTTTAGGGAACGAAATTGAAACACTATAGTTTAGAAATTATTTGAAAAATATAAAATATTTGTTAATACTGTAATACTAAAATATCAATGTCATAGGCTGTACACAAGGCATTGATCTCTGTTCTTTTTGGCATACTATCCTACAAAAACTGCAGTTATGTTTGACTCTTTACAATCTATTTTGAGACTGTTTCCATGGGTCAGCGAGGTCTACTTATATCTTTCAACTCATATTTGTGCTTTAAATTTGAAGATACTTGAATCAAAATAAGTGCAACTTGCACACAAACACGCATATATGTCTATATAAATTCTTGCGTTTTATCTTATAATTTTTATAGTAATTATGCTGATTCATTTTTTATTAGACATTTGCATTACAATTAAAAGTTGTATGACAAGTTTATATTAATTATTTCTTTACCAAATATTAATGGAAATAGTAACTTTTATTATATTGCAAATAGTTATGCAATGATTGCATGAAGGCAGCAATAAATAATTTATAAGTTAGTCAATAGTAATTTAGCATAATTGTATGTATCGATGTTGTATATTACGATTATACAACGTCATTATTATAATTATAAGGACCTAATTGATAGGATAGAAAATAATAATGATTGTTATTATTAAATATTTGCAAAATCTTTTGTAAATTAAGAAAGGAGAAAAAATAAGAAGAAAAATTCTATTAGTTCTATTTTAAACATAAGAAATAATCAGAGCATTTAACAAATTCTATAAATTATTTCTACATTGTACAGTTAATATGATATAAAAATCAAAGTATTTGAATAATTTGTACTGCAACGCATGCTAGTTTAGAGTAGTGTTAGTGTGCATTTCTGCAATTGTACACACAACTTTAAAGGCATCCGAAATTCAATTCCGCGCGAGCCAATGAAGTTGAGTCATCGATCTTAAATATAAAATATTCGGAAGCGTGATTGGTGGAGCGTAAACAAGTCGTGTCGCTTATTGGTCACTTTTCTTCCGTGCAAACTCGCCGTGACGATGCAACGAGCTCGGATTCGTACCGCTTATGGCGCAGGCGCCACTAATGCAGTGCACGTCTGTGTGCACCGCTGGTGTGCACGGCGGTTCTTCGTCGATTTAGAGAAAGAAAGAGAATAAAAAAGGGAAAGAGAGAGAACAATAAAAAAAAATAAAGAAAGAACAGAGAAAAAAAAGCGTGGAACAAAAAAAATAAGAAATAAACGGATTCACGGAACGAAGAGAAGAAGTCGTGTGTGTTAGTTCCCACGAGTAAGGTGTATTTTTAAAGTGGTACGGCAAGATTATGTAGTGTCCGGTGTCGGTGAATAATCGGAAGTTAGAAGGAAGGAAGAGGGAGGTGCGGGAGGGGGTCAGGCTTTCTTAGCGGCAAGGAGAAACGTGAGTAATTCTAAGGGTGGGGGGATATTAAAAAAACTCCTATGAAAATCACTCCCCTAGATGACATTTCGTTAGGTGTTATTCAAAGGCGTGCCACAACGTTTATTCTCTAAGCGTGCATGCCGGAGGGGTTGGGTGGAACCCCCTGTCACGTTCCAAACCTATTTAAATCGATGATGTTTTTTTTTCTCTTTCTCTTCTCTTCCTTTAATTTAATTCTCCTACCTTCTTCGAGAGCCTTTCGTAAAAGATTAGATTTATTTCATAATTAATAACGGTAGGAAAATATGAGAGATAGACGGTTGCCATCGCCGGAAATGTTACCGCAGGCGTTAAACTCTCTTCTGAGTAGCTGTGCAAATACTCTCTCCTCTCTATTTCCCTCTCCTTCTTTCTATCTCTTTCTAGCTTTCTCTCCCTGTCTCTCTCTCTCCCTCTCATTTTATATGCCCTCTCTCATCTCTCCGATACCACCACCACCATCATTATCATCATCATCATCAGCATCAGATAGTACTACCACCAGCAAATCAATCTATACACGTACATATATATATATATACAGACGCACATATATATATATATACACACGCACACTACTATACAAAGATGACAACGACACCAAGCTCTCCCCCTTCGCCGTTATCCTGTCTCTTTTTCATTCCTTTTCTTGTTTACCTTCTCCTTTTTCTTAGAGACTTAATGCAAATTCGCCTAGTGAGGTGTTAAAATCTTGCAAAGTTCCGGCTTGATGCAATAAGTCAGTCGATTATGTCTACTTTTCTTTTTTTTTTCCCCTTTTTGTTCGATTTTTTTCTACCTGTTTTAATATATTTTTATCCGTTTACTACTTCATTTATATTACCACTTGTGCGACGACTACAGCGACAAGTTTTCGAATCCCACACGTTCTCATGCTCGTTGCACCTGTGGATAGAAAATGTACACGCGTGTAACAAGATACTCGACCTTACTACTATCATCATTCTCTTTTAGTCTTTTCTTTTTCACAGAATGTGTGAGACATGCGAGTACATTGAAAAAAATTCAATACGTCATACGCGAGTCTTTTGTGTTTCGTGATAATTATACTTTCTTGGAAAAGGTTGCATAGTGAATGCTAATATCCTTTTTATCACGCTTACGTTTCCTGCTTATATTTTTTTCTCTCATTCTTTATATGCGTGATCAGATTATATATATATATATATATAGATATGTATATAAATATATATATTTATTTATATATGTGTGTGTGTTTGTCTGCAACGATTCTTTGAAAATCTACTTTACAATGTTTCCTATATTCTGTACCAGGTGATTTAAATTTTAAAAAGGTTATTGAACCTTTCTATTTTGGTTTATACGTAAGTTGCTGACTACCTGTTATATCTTATTTTTATCAAGTAGCTTGAAATACTTTACATGTGTTATTGTTTATTATAACCTCTGTGAGATCAACTGATGAACAAATTAGAGAGTTTGTTATTTAAACAAATAGATGCACTTTAACTTCTCATTATTTTGTAAAGGGATAGTTTGCAATTTCTAGATTTATTTTATATTTAATTTAACATATCGTTGTTAAAAGAATATTTTTAGATTATAAGATAATGGATCATATCGGTTTATAATATTTTTATAGATCAACGCAAGGAAATGAAGATGAGTTTCTCTTTAACCTCACTTCAGCCTTCTAGCAATAGTCTAGAAAGGCGGAAGCAAGTGAGTGTGCCCTTAGAAAGACCGTACAACAGTCTTACCAAAAAAAGGTTTATTTTTTAATCATTATTTATATGTTATTATATTTTAGATTGTATACTAATGTTAATTATTTGTATTTTTAGAAAAGATCCCAAACAAATGCAGTGTCAAAGAATGTGGACTAACAGAGAAGATAGTAAAGATGACTTTTGGGCTGCGATACGCTCTAATTATGATTATATTATGGATACTAATTTAATTGATAGTTGTAAGGTACGGTGAATCTAATTTATCTTTCAGTAATACGTACTACGTACCATAGAATAAACCATAATAAATTTCTATATGTTTTATTGATTAGGAAGCGAATGGTGAATTAACTTGGGATGAGACAGATGTATCCACTCAGTCTTGGAGTTTGAAGGAAGTTAGTTGCCAATTTTCAGAACTCTATTCGTGGTTAAGAGTTCTTCAAGAGTTAGTTTATTCTAAAGAAGAAAATCTTTTGAACAAAAGTCTACGCGCGGTATGTATACTTGTATTAAATTTATCTCACATCGTTTTGGTATTTTAGAAAATATTAAAATATTCTAATGTAAGTATTTTCATTTCTTGTTTGTAAAGGCTCACATGGCGGAGTTGCGACGTAAGGCATACAGAAGAAAATTGTTCAACGAACAAGCAGAAAAATTAGTATCATGCACCCCTGCATTAAAAGATGAAGTGGCGTGGCGTGTTAATCACTTGAACGCAAAGTGGGAATTAGTTGAACAAATTATGGCACCTGTAGAACGTACTGTCTCTGACGAACAGGATGTATCTGCAGGTAATTGTTTGCTCTATCTAACAAGATTTAATTTGTAAATCCTCCAAGTTTCTTGCATGTCCATAATTCTTGATATTTATTTTTCTAGACTTCGAACATGAAGTTAAATGCTTAAGAAAGTGGTTACGAGAAATGGAATCGCGTCTGAAACCTTTGAGTCTTCACGTAGATTGGACATTAGCAGAATTAGAAGAAAAAGCAATGGAGCATATGGTGAGTCGTGTTAATTTCATTTTTAATATCATAACAGATGGTTTATTTAATTAGAAAAACATTTATAAGCAAGATCGATAACTCGTTAATTTATACAATTTTGGAGTCCATTGAATTTCATGTGTTTTATATTCTACATTTCTTTTTTGTTTCCAATTCAACAGATAATATCCTATGTTTAATTAGTTAAGAATTTTATCTTTTTTTTCATGTTCAAATATTTACCTTAAGTAGATAAGAGTATTGCAGTATTTGACATATACGCGATAAGTAACGCCATCTTGCATCGGAAAATTATCATTACATCTCTTGTGGTTACCGGTAAAGATGAACTATTGATAAAGTCGTTCTCTCTTATCATTGTATTATCGACTGCGATAATTTGGATGTTAGCATGAATTAATTTTTTAAAAACTTGGCGGGAACGTACGAACGATTGATGTATAATAAAGAACATGGTAATCGATGAGTAGTGCAAGAGATTATGAGTTCCAGCTAATAACAAATGGATGACGCTGCTTTCCAGGATATTTCTTTTTGTAAGATAAATGGCTTTCCATAATAAACGTAGTCACGAAATACGAAACGACCGTAAAGATATACAAGAAAAATAGATTAAAAAGATTAATACGTTCGAAATGAGATTACCGCAAGATCTCTCGTTGCTGGCAAACTGCAATTTAGATAAACCATTGCGGTTTAGTATCTCGAGGCGATCGTTATATTTGAATGTTGGGAACAAGCTAGCTAGCAAGCGAAGACTCGTTTTAGTAGTCGTTGTTGTCAGAAAAATTTCGGAGAAAGCGTGACGAATCGAGTATTCAAACTTTAATGCAGAATATAATAATATTTCGATGTTTAGAATTAGATAAATTTTCTTTTTAAAAAGATATTTAATATCTCCAATTTTTTTAAATCTAAATTATTGTACAGATAGAATAAATTTGCGAATATTTTATTTGTCACGTAACGCGACGAAATTAGATAATTCCTAGTAAATTCGACGAACAATATCAGAAACTCTTGTGTTACATTTGTAAAGGAAACACGCGTTTCTTTAAACAACGAGTATTACGAACGAGTGGTGGTAATTGTCTTTATGAGCAAGATTGGCTCTTCGGCAGATTCCTTCTGCATCCATTGTTGTCCCCTGTGAGTCACATAAGCAGCCATCTTTTGACTACCTCCGCTAAACTAAACGTAACTTTCACTCTAACATAACGCACATGGAAATATATGGTTGACGTTGAGTAACGTTCACGGTCATTTTAAACCATCCCATCTGTGATCATGTAGCTTTGATTGCACAGGACGAAAGTACAGTTCCTATTACTCTTTTGAGATTTGTTCAGGATTTTTTTAATATGTTTGCTTTTATTCTTGTTTGTCGCAATTATGCACGAGACGAAAGTAGATTTCGTATTACTTTTCTTAAAGTAAATTTTCCTTGTTTATTCGTTAGAATAATCTCGCGAATGATTATCTTCGAAGATAATGTTGATGATAAAGGATACCACTAACAGTATGGTCTTGTGTATCTTGTCGAGATAATTCGGTATGCGTCACTCGGACACATCGCGTACGTTTTCTACGTAAAAAGTTGACGTTCAACAGATACGATCTTGCCTATAATTTCCGGCTGCAGTTTCTCACACTTTCCCCATGGTGGAAGTTTCTACCCATAGCATATATCTACGTGCATAAGTATCAACGGATAGTACGATTAATTTCTACCGAATGGCCCGCATAAATCTTGGATGCGTTCATTTTCCGATTTACACGTAGCTTATTTAGATAAGCACTGCGAATAATAATTGAACAAATTAACAACACAAGTTAATACATATATAAAGAATATATAATCGTTCGAAGTAATATAATATAACACCCTAGACATTTTCCTTCTCATTCATTGGGTTTTAGTTTAAGTATAGTTGGTTGTGGAGTTTCGGGTCAGTTCGGTGTTGGAAGTCAAGCAAGCAAGCAAGCAAGCAAGCATCGTTTCGAATTCACCCGAAGACCCTTTTGTTTATTTCTTCTTTTTATTCCCCCTACAAAGCGCATAGGGACATACCAACGGAGCGAAAAAGAGGTATAGTGTAGGCCCCCGAGAGTGCGTGGGCACACTAATAGTAAATGTGAGGGGGACGCTCGTGCTATCTTATATGTATATGTATATATATATATTTGTGGTGTGGATGTTCTCTCCCTTTATGTATGCGTAATACTCGTCCATGAGCACACGCGAGGAACGGCGAACAAAGTCCATAGTTTTGTTTGAAACCGACGTTGCCCGAAGGCTGTTCGGCTCCCCGTTTGTGTTCGTGTGCACTGTACTCTTGGAGCAAGCGAGTAGCAGCTGGCCTCTGCTGCCGGCTGCAGGTTCTTCGTAGTCGGTGAGTGTGCACGTCGTTCTTTCGTGGTGGCGTCGTTGTTCTCTTGGACGAGGAAGGGACGACGCTAAGCACGTTTGCTTCGAAAGATTCCCGCCCCTTTTTCCCTATATATATTTCTTTCTCTTTCTCTCTTAAGCGCCCATCATCATCATCATCTTCCTCATCTCTTCCTTCCAACTGCTTGCTCCCCTCTTTCATTCGTGGTGAAGCAACAGGCCAGAAAAGCTAGCTAGCTAGTTCCTTCCTTTCTTTCTTTCTTTCTTTCTTTCTTTCTTAGCCGGCTATGTTCGCGACTCTGAACTTGTTCCTAAGCTTATCTTATTCATTTTCTTATTTACTCGAGTTCGTTGTGTTTCTAAATATTCGCGTACTCGGACAATAATCGATTTATTCTAATTACCAGTGACGATAATTGGTGACGACTAGTGTTATTATTGGTGGTGTATCACTCTGTGCGTGTTATATTTCATGAAATATTTTCGCGGTTAAATTTTTAGCTTTATTTATTGTTCATTACCGCAAAAAGCGCGTGCTGAACGACGAGCCTAAGTATAATGTGTGCTTTCACGTGTTCGATTCGATTCCAAACTCGCACTCGTCCCTCTCTTCGATCCTGTACCCGATCCTTCTCCTTATTCTCTTTCCTTTCCTCTTCTTGCCCTTGTAGATGTATCGTCGTCCCATGACCGTTCAAAGACTCCTCCTCCACCTCCACTTCCTCCTCCTTTTTCTCTTTCTCCTCGTCGTTCACTTATAGTCGTTCACTTACCCACGCGGAAGAGAATCCTCATTTTCGTGATTACAATCGTCTTCCTCTTTCTCATATTTACGTGGGTGGCAAGTTTTACTTTATTTTCTTTTAAAATAGGAAGAGTGGAATAAAGAAAAGGGAAAGAGATAGAAGCGTCGGTTAGTTAGTTTGGTGGTGGTACGCCTGCGCGGTAAATCGGTTGCGAGAAGAAGACCCAGCAAGTTCAGTAAGGGCTGTCTAGGAAACAGAACTTAACTACGAACTATCGAAGAGGAATCGGAATATTATTCATCTGGGTGCAATCCGTCGTTATACTAACTTGCAACGAATGGTTGGAAAATAGACAAAGCAAGAAGAAGAAGAAGAAGAAGCTACCATCATCATAGTTCTAACAATTTTCCTTGATACTCCAGTTGCTGATGTTGATGATGCTGGTACTTGGGTTGCCTATTGGTTGCTCCTTGAAGACGCTTCTTGTTGCTAGCTTATTCTCTTCATCATCGTCATCAATATAATCATCATCATTGGGACGACTAATTCAAGAAGATTCTGTATGCATCATAGAAGATTTTTAAATCTTCCTGGTGTATATTCTCGCCAGTACGACGAGACTCGATTTACTCGTGGATCCTCTTTTAGCTGGAGTGGATATACGTTTCGGTAACGTTATCATTATTTTATCATCCAATTTTATATTTTTTAATACAATACTATAATACGTTTTGTTTTAAAAAACATAATCGTTTCCCGATTCGTTTCAAATGATTTTCTTAAAAATCAGTTTCTTAGATTGGAAGATATATTTAAGAGTTTATAAAAAAAGAAAAAAAAAGGAGGGTTGACATTTTGATATTAAGATTAAATTTATCGATGATTTATTTATATCAAAAGTCCAAACGTTGCTGAAAGGATTAATTTTGAAATACTACATTTTCAATCGAAACATTTCGAACTGGTCGTCTTCGTTCCCCTGATATACGAGTTATATGAATTTTTACATATATGTAAAAAAAAAAAAAAAAAAGATAGAAAAGACTGCTTGTCTTTTTTTTGTACAATAATTATTATTTGAAGTGTAGAAGAGATTGGTGGGATAGATCGATTGACTTTTCTAGTTATAGACGAATCGAGAAGAGTAAAACCAACCAGGGTACTTTTTATCGATCGATGGATCGAGTTCCTCGAGAGTCCGGCTATTGTTTTTCCGTAACTATCCAAGGTTCTTTCTTTCTCTCTCTCTCTCTTTCTGAGTAATGTTGTATATGTGTGTGTGTGTGGATCGATCGATAGCTCGAAGAAGTTGAGTAGCAGATATATCGAGCTTTGATAGGATCGTTCAACCCAGACACCTTATGCGACCACGTGGAGAGGCACCGTTCGGATGAACGACATTCGCGGTTATCGAAGTCGGTCGTTTGAGGTCGGACGAGTTCACGCGGAATTGTCCATATTAAGAGAAAATAGATCTCGGGTTCTTCTTTAGTGAAAACCTTAACGTTTCTTTCCATCTATCTATCTGGCTACTTGACTTTTTTGTTTTATTTCTACTTCTACTTCTTTTTCTTATTACTTTTCTTACCTGCTTTCTTATTCCACTACTTTTTTTCTACTTAAAAGTTATTACTAAGGTTCATTATAATTCTTCTTTTAAAAAGATAGAAACGATTCTCCAACTCTTGAAAAACAAATTTTCGAAGTAAAGTGGGATCGCGTGATCCTGTTAAAAAAAAGTATCTGCCAAAGTTTTGAGATAGGGTTCTCCGATTGAATGGAGAAGAAACCCACCCTTCCTCTGTACATATTTGAAATTTCGTACTCTGATGTAATCTTTGATGCAACTCATGTAGAATTGC